GGTCAGCCCGCCCACGACTTTTTGGCCTATGAATATTTTGGGCGCTGGAGCACTGTCTTTTATTGAACGGTTTGTAATTTTTTACATATGTCAACGTTTTTGAAAGTGAGGGGGGAATTCATAAGGTCGAGTATGCGAGCGAAGTGAGCATCTAGGCTGGGGCCAAGGGCTCCTGGTGGGGGTCCAGGGGGCGAAGGCCCCTGGAAGCTACGAAAATTTTACGAAGTAAAAAAAGTAGAATTTTATAAGTTAGTTTATTATACAGTAGGCATCAAGCTACTGTAATATGATTTCATATTTGTTGTAATTTCCAGTGGCAGATCCAGGAATTTGAAATAGAAGGGCCCAGGGAGGGTATCTTTCACAGATAGAAGATCTATGCTACCTCAGCCCCAACCATGGTGGGAAGAAAATTTGTGATTATGGCACCTCTAGATGGCTGGAAATTGCACTTCCAGACATATGAATATAGTTATCTATATATCTCCATTTTTTTATTGAAAAAATTAGGAGGGCGGGGCGGGGCGGTGGGTCCCCTTGAATCCGCCACTGAGTACTTCAACAGATGGAGAATCTATACCACATGAGCCCCACCATGGTTGAGGCTGAGGTAAGAAAATTTGTGATTATGGCACCTCTAGATGGCCGGAAATTACTCTTAGACTTAAAATTTGAATATAATTTTCCTTATATCTCCATTTAAAAAAATTGAACAATTTAGCCTCCCCCTCCCCTTGAACGCGCCACAGATTTCTGAACAGTGTTGAAGTTGAGATTGCTTCCACGACCTCAATGAATTATTTAATATGAGGGTTATCCTTGATATGGGTTCCCCGACGAAAACTTCACTTTTCCCCCGATGGATAAAAATTACCCTTCTGTGTAGCTCAGAAATGATACTCCAACTGTGGTGGGTCCAGGAAGTCAAAATAGAGGGATTCAGGGAGAGTCTTGCGTAAATAGAAATTATGATTATGGTACCTCTAGATGCAGGAAATAGCACTCTCAGATTAAAAGTTGAATACAATTTTGTCTGTTTTCTCCATTTTTTAAAAAATAATTTTGGGGAAAAAAATAGGATGGGGTCCTGTGCTGACTGGGTTTCCCCTTGAATCTGCCACTGTTCAATATAACACTTGACATAGCCTATAATTTTGTTTCACAAATGATTAATTGCTAATGTCAAGCAAAAGATTTTTTTTTTTGAAATATTTTTTTTTGACTCAATACAGTTTTTACAACCTATGACACATTAACTACATTGTACTGTAAATTCTGTAGTTAACCTTCAGACAACTTTATTTAAAAAAATAGCCTAATTAAGTATCTTATTGTTTTCGTTAAATTAGACATTCCCTATGACTCTCATGCAATCTCCAGGTCACCCACATTTTCAGAAAACAACTCCAAAATACCAAAAACAGCTAATTTAGGTGCTTTTGGGTACCAATAATGAGTATTTCTGCATCAATTTTTCCTTTGTGTGTTGATTTTATCAACGATTTTGGCATACAAAAACTTATGTATCTGAGTGTTGCTGTCACCTTGAAAAATTAGAATGCATATTAAAAGAAAAATTTTCTGGGGCAGGTGCGCGCTTTACCAGGTCATTTTATGGTAGATAAACCTAAGCTACAATATTAGGCCCTAGGTGGAAGTCAAGTTTTATGAGGTGTCAAATTGAACAGCAATAAGACATCAAAAAGACTCGGATGTGAATATTTTGTTGACATGAATATGAATTTTCAGTCAGACGAGTTTGATTTTTGTCGGACGACAGGTGCTACAGACTAGCCTGATGGGGTAAATGACTTCCTCCTCATGCCGGAACATTAGACCCTGTCAGACATTTGTACCACCGCCCCTAGAGAAAAATGATGGGAGCAAGTATAAACCAAGTAAATAGGCTTACAATAAAAAAAAAATAAAGGCTGTAGCTAAAGAAGACATAACAAAAATTGGAAACGGCTATTGGTCCAGTCCTAAAACAATTCCTAATTCCAGTCCTATTCCAATGATCCATACATACACAAACAGCTAATCAGCATTAGAAACTGTTGACTGGTGTAACAATAGCCAAACTGTAAAAAATATTCAATTCAATCATTCATTATTGTATGTTGTATCTTTGCCGATGATGTTGTATTTATGTTCTAGCCAAAATACTACTACAAATGATACTATCACAATAAATTTTATTCAATCAATTTCTTTATCATATATATTTTTTTACAATTCTCAATTCAAAAATTGATTTAAAAGGCGTCAATTACTCTACAAGCAAGCTTTAAGTTTTGATGCCCTACAAAGAAAGAACAATAATAACTACAAAATCAAAATAAAAAGATAATAATAGAAGACGATTCATTTATAAATCACGATTCTTAAAAAGAGTGTAATGATAATATGATAAATACAATTGAAAAAAAAGTAAAATTACGACCAAGTAAAGTAAAGATTACCAGTTTTATCTATATTTGTTAAGTAGTCTGTTAAATGTATTTCTCTTTTAAATAAACTAATACTTTGTAGATTTTTTATATTGTGTTCTAAGCCATTCCATATTTTGGCACCTCTATAGCTGATACTGTTTTGTCCCATTTTTGTTTTCATTATACAGTGGTAAAGTTTTTTCTACTTCTGGTTCCATAGTTACAGTATGTATATCTTCAATTGTGCGAACAAATGTATTAAAGGTAATAGGGAGCTGTTTATTATGATACAGTGCAATATGTTTTGAACAATGTACAAAAGTGGTATAAGGAGAACAAACTACAATAAATGCAAATAAAAGCATTGTGATGTAAATTAGTATTGTAAAGTCAGTGGTAATGTCATCTCTTTTATTTGCACTGAATTTCCCTATTCTCAACTGATCACATTATCTTTAATTATTATTTTACTTACTTTACTATCTACTCTTTTAGATATTTGTAGATATTTATTTAATAGGATTTTTTTTTTTTTTAATTTATAGAAATGCTATCTCTTTGCCCTAATCCATACCTTTTTGGCTTATCTTGTTTTTGTTTTGTTCCACTTCTACAATACTGTGTTGCGTGTTCTAAGGAGAATCCGTAACTTCTTACATTCTCACAAAAGTAAAAAAATACTTTGGGAGGGGGATATTTGAAGTATTTTCACATTTAGCTCTGCAGGTTGGTGCCCGGACCATGAAGGTTATCTTGATCAAATGCCTCCAGGACCAAATGTTATCTTTACACTATTAGCAAAACAGTAGTACATTTAGTGGTTTGGAGCAAGCAATATTATATTTATGTATTAAATTGTGATGTGCAAAAAAAAAAATGCCTTCGGGTTAAAGGTCAGTGACTCCGACTGCCGGTCGTGCAATTTTCCAGCTCTGGGGTCGGGAAGGGGGAGGTCACTGGGATGAGTAGAGAAGATTTTGTGATTTCGTGAGGAAGACGAACATATAGATGAGGGAAATGTGTGCTTTCAGGGATGTTCTGTGTTCTGAACATCTTAGTTGTTTTTGAATTTTATTTGTTTTTTAGTTTATTTCATTTCCCCTTGTGATTTTCTACATTTTAAATTTCTTAGTTTGAGTTTCATTAATTTCATATTGAATATTTATTTTTAATAAAATAAGGGTTACTCAGGGGACTGACATGGCTATTTTGATTGTCATTTCGCTTCTAATGAGGCATCATTTCCTAATAATACTTTGATGAGGGTGGGGGGTGTTGGATAGGGGTGGCCTTGTCAATTGCTTAAGTGACATTTATTCAGCTTGTTTTTAAGATATTGTCTTCTTAATGTACAGTATGCTGTTTGTAGTTTTATTTGCTGTTTATCTCATGTTTACTTTTATTTTTGGATCCACCTTTATCATGTAAAATGTGCCACTGTTTCAAAAGTTTAGGGTCCGAATAAAATATTATCCCAGAATCCTGAAGGAAAATTATGGTGCTCTTTACTTTATGTGGATCTTATATTTGATTCATTATTACACAATGCATATTGCCTACCCACAGAACATTATTGTTTGATTTTTCTTATATTTCATTCATTTGTGTGTATGGCCTATTGCCTACAAACTTCTGTGTATTGCTTTTATTATTTTAATCATACCTTTTTACATTATGTCAAGGACCACTGCAGTGTTAATATATTTTCTCTTTTAGTGGTAAGCTTTCCTTATTGAATGTAGTTTTATCCTGGTTATGTTAGGCAATATAAAAATTGCAAATATTAAAGCCACATTCCCGGCAAAATCTAATTTTTATATGTATAAATAATATAAAGTAAATGACAGCAACACTTTTGAGACAACAATATAGAATTTAATTTCTAGCTTTCGTCCACACAGTGGACTTCATCAGGAGACTGTACAACAGATGGGGGCGGTCCTACTACAACAAAGTATGCAAAGAACAGTGTACAAAGCATTCTACTGGTCTGCCAAAATAAGCAATCTTAATAAACATTATTGAATACTGTATGTATATATATTATTACTGTAGCTGCTTTAATATTATCTATATTTTTGCTTCATATACTGTATTTACCATACTGTATTTACTGTCACTTAGCTGTTTTTATCCAATAAGTAATATAGATACATTAATTAAGCTGGAAACCACTAAATGAAAGATGGAGAGAACATTTACTTGTAGTTGTATTTAAGTGTTTACATATGGTAATATGCACCATCATATCTTCAATGTTTATGTTTAATGATGGTGTCCATCCCAAATGCACTCAAAGTCAAAGCAGTAAAAACCTTTGTATTACTAAAACTGGAAAATACTCAAGGAAAACGAACCTTTCAATACCGATCAGCCAAACTTCGGAATAATCTACCAAATGAAATCAGAAAAAAATATCAACAAATATGACCATAGTCAAGTGCAATATACCATTTGTGCTAATATATTTTAAATTAAATTTTTATTATCAGGTTTTTTGCAATTTGAACTTTTCATCAATTTTTGTGCCAATGTTTAATTTGGGTTTTTCTCTTGTATTTTTGATACTTTTGTGTTCTGTTTTATAATATTTTACTTCTGTTTATATAAACTTTGTTTAAGAAAACTGGATCATTTTGAAAAGCAATACTGCGTTACTGAAAATGCTATCCAGTCGAAAGAAAGAATAATACACAATACCTTGGACACTCAACTGTATGAAGTATACCGTATACCAGAATATACACAAAAATCAGCTGGAGAGAGCATTCCAAAGGATGCGATCTACAATCTCTGAATTCGCCTAGTAATGAAAAAGTCGTCAAGAAAATGGTAATCTCCTACCTACGAGAAATAAATAGGCCTAGTCTCTACTTCTCCTTTTTTTTTTATTTTTTTTTTTTAGGTAAAACAAAAATTTATGCCAATTTTTTTCTATGGTATATAATAATTACAGTAAATGCATATTATATTTATTTCCTTCATAAACATATATATGTATATACCATACAAGATAAAAACATTAAAATTGAAAGAAAAAGAAAATCCATTGAAACAAAGAGTATACAGATTGCTGGTGAGTGCGCAGGCGGGCATACCAAAAGGAACGGAGTTCCTGTACAATAAATGTTTGGGATCCACAAGTAGCGTTGCCATTTCTGGCATAATTATGCTTTTTGGCATAATTTGGAGGCCACGGCATCTGGCATTATGCCGCGGCATAATCTAGCCGATTTTAGCATAATTTCATGTTTTTTTGGCATAATTTCTTGTTTTTAAAAACCCAAAATTTTGGGCAATCTCGCACATATCTCGTACATGTATTGTATCATCTTGTACACATAATGGTAACATGTAATAATCACTGCTTCACTGCTACCGGGTGTACGATAGCAGCGTCGTCGCCGCAAGTAACTGAGAATTGACCAATTATGTTGCTCCATTTGAGAGATCAGGCAGCTTATTGGACAGAATTGAGGACCAAGCTCCCTTCTTAAGTAACAGTTCACGATACTATAGGAACACCTTAACAAGGATATTACTTTTAAGATGTTCCACTTGTATACAGTATAATCAACTTTTTACTTCTTTTTTTTTTGTTTGTTTGTTTGTTAATGCCCTATTTCAAACAATTAACTTGTAGGCTAAAATAGCTAAAAACTAGTTTGTATCACTACAGGAAGGCATTTAGGTCTGGACCGTTGTTCAAGACAGTAAAAAATACTAAGAGTTTTAAGATAGCATATCATGCTGAACGGGTGATATACATTTAGTCACCGGCAATTTACATACATACGGTAGATAGGCTAGCCCTACTTACAGTAGCCTTTCAGACTGCCCTTACTGAGACTCGGACAGAATAGGAACACCAAGCTCTCTTCTTAAGTGACAGTTCACACTACTATAGGAACACCTTAACAAGAGTATTACTTTTAGATGTTCCACTTGTGTATAACCAACTTTTTACTTTTTTTGTTTTGTTAATGCCCTATTTCAAACAATTCGTAGGCTAAAATATCCAAAAACTAGATTTATATCACTACAGTAGGGCATTTAGGTCTGGACCGTTATTCAAGACAGTAAAAAATACTATGGGTTTTAAGATAGGCATATCATGCTAAACGAGTGCACAGATATAAACAGTATAAAAAGCAACGGCAAACACCTTGTTTATTTGCACCTTATAAATTGGCCTATTATTATTACTATTATTATAAAGTATAGATTTTTTTTTCATTTTCTAACGAACATTACAATTTCCCTTTTTGAGTTGAGCAACCAAATGTTGATTGGAATGTCTGTATACGTGCATCTGTTAAATTTCTTTGAAAAACCCACCCTCTTGCATTGAAAAAAAATTGCCTGCATTCGTGAATTCTGTATTTAGGTATATGGGGTAGGTAGGCACTCTTAATGGTGCGACGTTCTATTTTGCTTTTCTAACCACGAAGATGTATAGTAAGTGTAACTGATTGGCTTACAGTAAACCTTCAAACTAGTGTAATATAACCACATTTAAAAACTGTAGTTAGGCTAAGCTACTGTAGGCCTAGGCCAGGTAGGTTAAGACAGGCCTAGTTGACAGGTAAACTATAGGCTATAGCCTATAACTAAATATTAATAATGTAATACATGTACCATACTCACATTTCAATTAAAATCATGTTATCTTGTTTTTGTTTTCCATCGATTGTTGGCAGTCTCCCTGTCGAGAAAGATTCACATGGTTGTTTGTTGACCCACACATGACAGCAGACCTGGATTGACACGATATGTGACGGTCCAGTATATTACTACGCGTGTGATATAATTGACTGGATTGTATTGCGAAGATATTGTAAATAATTGAAAATTATAGCGATACAAAATAATAACAACATATAAGTATTGAGAAAGACATATTGGCTCATATCTGTGAGAAAACATTGAAAGAGGCATGAATATCTGGAGCTACTTTGTTTACGCGTATGCATCCTTCTGAAATGACATTGTGAAAAAGTGCCAGCCGGGACTAATTTAAATTAGTTTTTTATTAATTATTAATAAATGACGTGATTTTGGAAAACACCACATAGCCTATTACCTGCCCAGCACCAATCTGAACATTTGAGCTAAAATTTGGTTGAAATCGGTTCAGTAACAAAAGAGAAAATTCGGGACATACAAACCCCAATTTGCCTTTTATATACAGTATATAGATAGGCCTATACAGAATATTGTTATATGAAAGAAAATTTTCATTAAAAATCCAGATACACTACAATAATACACACATCTGCATGTTGAAGAACATAAGACAAAATTAAAAAAACAAAAACTCCTGTATAAGGCAGTAGACACACGCTCCCGCTGGGAGCCTATATTTCGACAAGGCCGTAATTACAAATCAAAACAGAAATTAAAACAAAAAGGTAAAAATAGACTAATTACAAAATAAAATCACATTGGGGCCTACTGAAAAGAAACATAATTACATTAAACTGAATTATCTTAAATACACTTTTCATTTAACTATAATACTTTTAATTAACTTTTATTTTCGTTATAAAATTGGAAATGTTATTTGAGTTATTGAGGTCATCACTAAGTTCATTCCTTAATTTAGCCCCTCTGTATGATAAGCTATGTGTTTTATAATCTGTTCTTGGTTTGGGTAGTGTTAAATGATTTTTAGATATGGTGTTATAGCAATCATGGTGTTATAGCAACATACTTTAATATAGAATCTGCTTGTTAGGTAAGTTGGTGCTAAATTATTGGAAATTTTTAACATAGTGATGGCCTCATTCTGATACAGCGTCCTCTCAAGGTTATCTAAGTTAAGGCTTTCTCCTAGTCCTCCTAGTTATTATTTTGGCAGCTCTGTTTTGCATAACCTGAAGTTTGTAACTTTGAGATGCATTTGAGTGCCCCCAGACAACATGGCAGTATTCAAAATAGGGAGAAATTAGAGATCAATACATTGTGCATGAAGTATCTTTTGGTAAAATAGAATTTGTTTTTTTCAGGTAGTAGAGTCCTTGCAGAGCCTACCTTTTACATATTCAGTATAGTCATTCCAAGAGAGGTTATCATCAATTGTAATACCAAGGTGTTTGCAATGCTTTACACGTTTGATCTTTTGCACCATCAATATTTAAATTTAAGTTTACAAGAAGTACAGTACCTATGACCATATACTCACTTTTCTACTTTTGTTTCTAATGAGCCATTTTTTAATTTTATTTAGGTTAACATTGAGAGTTTCAACTACAGGTACAGTACATCATTTATATTGTCAGGTGAGTAGTATAAATCTGCATCATCTGCATACAAAGAAACTTTACAATTTTAGATATCTTGATACAAATCATTTATGTACAGTAGAAATAACAATGGCCCAAGGATAGATCCCTGTGGGATACCACAGACACTATTACATTTTTTTTTCAGGAAACACCATTGACACTTGTAATATGATTTCTATCATGCAAGTGTGCTTAAACCAGTTTATAACATTTTCATGAAGGTTAAATGATGGTAGTTTTTTAAGTAGAAGCTGATGGTTGACAGCGTCAAATGCTTTTTTTTTTTATCGATCATTACAAGGCCTATGTACTTCCCCTTATCAATGGATTTGAGCCAGTCTTCTGTCAGATTTAGAAGACCTAATTGATGTTCATAGAACATACTATAAGAATGTACTGTATATAGAAATAAATTTGTTCGAAGACCACTCTTTCAAGAATCTTAGGACAGAGAGAATTGAAATAAGTCTATAGTTGCTTTTTTCTGTTTTGTCACTACCTTTGTGGATTGGACATATTTTAGCGCTTTTCCATGTGACAGGGAATGTTGATGTAAATAGATATATATATTTATTAAATCTAAACCCTTTGTCCAAAAAGACAAATAACAGATTAAAATATCAATACTTTATTCAATATTATGACCATTATTTCTCACAATTTTTCTGTATATAATTTGAATGGTTTCATTTGACAATCTGGTGTGAACAAATTTTACAAACACATATTTTATAATGATATTCTACAATCAATGCAAAATTGAATGATCATTTTTTGTGTCAGTTCCCCCTCAGGGGCAAAGACACTATGTTGTCATCTGGCAGTTAAAGATGCCTGAAAGGGTAAATCCTGTGGAGGTGTATGATAGGTCATGTGTCATCTTAAGTACCATATTACTGTACAAAAGTCATTAAAAAATACAACACCACACATTTCCTGATAACCGAATCCCATGTGGAAACTTTATTAGTAAATATAATACAAAGGTAGTATAGGGCATAGACACACACTCTCGCTGGGAGCCTGTTTTCTTTCTAAGTTGAAAAAACTTTATAATTGTGTATACCGTAGTTTCATATACAGTATACTAAACTGCTTCTTCACATAGGTTTAGGGTGAATGGTTAAATATAGCTTATAAATTGAGTTTGTCATGTAAATTTTAAAATTATAAATATAATATGTTGATTTAAGATCTCATTTGAAGAATAATGTTGGTAAGATAAAACATACTGATGTGACTGTTCTTTATTTTCAGAAATGAAAGCATACAAGGTTTGGGATTTATCAAGACAGAAAAAAAAAACCGTTGTTGCTAACTCATTGGATGAAATTATAGAAAAAGGTAATGAGTGAAATGTTTAAGGTAGTGTGTGTCTCAGTACATGATTTTAACATGAACCCAAATGTTTCTTTCCAATCATGTGGCATATTCCTCGGAAATATAAATGTATACAGTAGGTAGGAGAATAACCCATAACTTAAAGTCTCAATTGTGCTGAATTGTGTGAGTGGTCCATGACAACTGTGTTAGTCATGGAGAGGTGCATCATTAGCTCTCCATCAGATGTAAATCTTCTACCATCCATCTTCCAGGAAACGATGGACCAGCTGTTGGGGAAATGATGATACCACTGCTGCTAGAGTGTAGGAGAGATTGTAAAAATGTACAATGTTATTTAGGCGCTCGCAACCGCCACTGGGTAGTTGTAATTGACTATATAACAGCAAGATTTGTGTTTTACTGATTGTTGATGTTGAATAATATTGCAATGCACATTACATGGTTGGCAGATATTTACTTAGGTGATACTTTGGGAATGGTATTAGTTACACATATTTTAATTGGCAAGAACATTTTTCATTCATTCTTTTTTTATCTTGAATATTCAAGACTTATTTGTACCTTGTTAAGCAAACTTACTTTTTTTAAGATCGTCAGAATAGAACAGACAAAACAAATACTGTAGTTTCTTATTTAGCAAGCTGTTTTTGCTAACATCTGGTGGAAGAGAAAATAAAAATAAAATTATATTGATGAATGTATTTTAAGGTAGCAGCAAATGTAATAAAAATGTTAAAAACCCTTTCTTTTTCTGATACAGTATTTTCAAAATTTTGTGGCACCCAGTGCGCTAACTGGTCAAAAATAGAATTTTATTTCAGCTGGTGGCAGGTTTGCGAACAATTTATAAAAGAAGTCTTTCCCTATACAAATTAAGCAATTTATAATGATAGTGGTGGCTATGCTGATAATGAAAACTGTATTCTGTTGCTGTAATAGTAGAAAATTTTTGCAGCTGCAATCAGTCATTCTTCATGACAATTGTTGTGTATGATCTATTCCTTCAGTTCTGCCATTGCAGAAACAGATACAGTATCTATGTACACAATCATGTTTTAATGCTGTTTTAAAGTTGTGTATGCAAGTGAACAATAACAAAATAATACAAAAAAAAAATATTTTTTATAGGATCGGAGAAGCTTGACCTAAAGAATGTTGTAAAGGTTGTGACTGAAGAGGATGGCACTGAAATTGATGAAGAATACTTGGCACACATTCAAGAACACACAGTATTTCTACTTCTGGAAGAGAATGAAGAGTGGATGAAACCAGGTTGTTAGTAACAGTAGAATTTATATAGTGTAATAACTACAAAAAAAATTGCAAATATTATTCTAGAAAAAAAAATCAATAAAATTACTTTTATATATTCACAGGCAAAAATGCTAGTATGCAGTCCCCAAAGAAACATAAAAAACGAGGAAGACCTCTTGGACGAAAAAATAAAGTTGAGGATGAGGATCCATCTGTGAGTATAGCTTCTGGAAGCTCATTTGATATTTCACAAAATACATCACCAAGACGATCTGGCCGTCAACGAAAAGAAAATAGTCGCTATAAAAATTATGAATTTGATGAAACTGCAGATCTAAAACAGATCAAACAAACAATTGAAAAAGCTGTTTTAGATGATGATGAATGCACAGATAATGTTAATGAGGAAGAAAATATTGTGCTTAGTGACCAAGATATAAAGAACAGTGGCTTTGGTGAAGACACATTAGAAATTGTTGACAAAATGGTTGTCAGACATTCAAAACGAAAGCAACAGAAGAAGAAATCTTCCGATTTTGTTCTTGGAGAAGATGCAGATGCAGATAATGATGTTTGGATTGAAGATGATGTTGAGGAGGCAGATGTTAATGAAGAGGAATCTCATAATGATCCAAGAAAGAAGCGAATACGAACTCGTCCTCCTTTACCATTGTGTGAGGAGTGTGGAAAACAGTTCCCAAAAAGATCTCACCTCTACCAGCATATTCAGAATGACCACAAGGTTGAAAATGCTTTCAAATGCTTTGAATGTGATGAAACATTCGAAGACATTGAAAAGTGGAAAGAACACGAGGAAGTACACAAAGTAAAAAAAATCACATGTACTTATTGTGGGAAAAGTTTCTCTACTAAGACAAAGCTGAATGTTCATTTGCGAATACACACTGGAGAACGACCTTACAAATGTGAGATGTGCCCAAAAGCCTTTGCAACCAACTCTACATTTAACACTCATATGAAGATGCATACAGGTGAGAAATTGTACACCTGCCGTGTTTGTCGTAAGAAATTTGTGCAACGAAGTGGGCTTAGAACCCATTTGTTAACACATAACGAAGATAGACCTCATGAATGCTCTTTATGTAACAAAACATTTGCATTGCCCATTTATTTGAAACGACACATGTATACACATACTGGGGAACGTCCATGGAAGTGTACTATCTGCCCAAAGTCTTTCGCTAAAAAGTGGACTCTTGATGAGCACATTAAAGTGCATAATAAAGATCGGAAATTTCCATGTACTTTCTGCGACAAGTTCTTTTATGGGACAGGAGACTTAAAAGTTCATGAACGTATCCATACCGGAGAGAAACCATACCCCTGTCCAAATTGTAAAAAATGTTTTGCAACTCTTACCAAAATGAAAGTCCACCAGAGGGTTCATACAGGTGAGAAACCATACAAATGTAATTATTGTGGAAAAGGGTTTGCAACAAGCTCCACAAGACATGTGCATGAACGTATACACACAGGAGTTAAACCATATGTATGTAGCCATTGTGGAAAAGGGTTTACACAATATGGTAATTTAGACAATCACATAAAGACTCACACTGGGGAGAAACCTTTTCAATGTACAAATTGTGGTAAGACTTTTTCTACTCGTACAAATTATGACAACCATGTAAAGGTACATACAAAGGAAAGACCCTACAAATGTCAATATTGTGAACAGGCATTCTTGAGCCAGTTTAGACTCGATGCTCATGAAAGAAAACACACTGGAGAAAAGAAATACAAATGTGATATATGTCAGAAGCAATTTGATGTACCTTCCAAATTAAAAACTCATGTGCGATCACATGATGCCCCACGTGTATATCAGTGCAGTCACTGTAGTAAGACTTTTGGAAACAAGGCAGGATTTGTAACACACCTTAAGTCACATGGATCAATTGTTCATGGGCAGTACCGGTGCAATATGTGCAGTACATCTTTTCATGACAAAGCTGCTGCTGATGTACATATGCAGATTCATGCAGCAGCAGAGGCTCTCATTCTCCAGATGCAACAAGAACCTCTACAGGGTGGGTCTGGAGAGGAGGAAATCATCAAATGTGATGGCAAAGAACGTCTTCCGCCTGGAACTGTCCAACAAGTTGTTCTACAAGGTGAAGGAGGTGAAACAGAAACTGTTCATCTGGTCTTAATACAAGAGCAGTCATCAAAGGATCGTGGTGATGCATTGGATGCTATAGGTGATGAGAAAGAGCTGGCAGCTGTTGCAGCTGAACAAGAAGAACTCGCCATAACTGGAGACCATGTTCAACGTGTCATTTTGCAGCAGAGTTCAAATACTGTCCACAATCAGGAAAGTCTTGAGCAAGAAGTACTTCAACAGTTAATGTTGCAACAGAATGCTGTCAACCTTGGCAGCTCAGAACAAGCCACTGGGGATCAGCAGTCACAGCTTGATGTTGTAACTGGTGAAGCAACTGATCAAGCTTTACACAATCCTTTAGGACAAAGCTCCTCTCAAGAGGAATTCGGTCAAGAATATCAAATAAATCGAACAGAGCTTGTTCATGAAGAGACTTCACCATCAATTCAAGTCAACTTGCTACAGGAAACTCATTCTAGTGACCAAGAACAGCAGATATTTCACATTGTATCAAGTGAGCAAAACTCCGAAATCCCAGTTAGGCAGGCTCTTATTCAGAGCTCAGCTTCAGGAGAGGTAATTAGAACTGGTGAAGTTTATGCAGATTCCGAGGTTCCTACACAACAAATCATTATTCAGGATGGAAATATTCCAGCAGAAGCATCTGCAGCTCAACTGTTGCAACAAGTAGCTCTTCAGCAGGGTCTTTTGCAGGGTGAAGATAGATTAGTGGTATATCAGCAGTCTGACTTACCAAGTGATGATGTACAGCAGATTGAAGAGCAAGACTCTTCTCAGGAACCTGTTCACTTGTATGTGATCCAAGAACATTTTGTAGAAGAAGAACACAGTGAAAACTGATGATGTAGATAGTTGTTGAATGTTATAAACAAATTGTCCATTTGAAACATACAGTATTTCAAAATTAATTACATTAATTGAATTGTATGAAAGCTATAAAAATGTAAATCAATTGAAAATTCGTAGAATTGGTGCAGTGAGGCTGTTCAGGCTTTAAATGTTAAAGGTTATTGGTTGCAAACACTGACAGCGGTGGCGCCGGGGGCCTTGGCTGTCGGGGAATAACCTCAATTCGTCAGGGAGAAAAAGAAATGATATGCTTTTCTACATATAATGAGACTCTAAAATTGATTAAATAAACCTTTGAAACCACTTTCAAAAGATTTTGATCGATGCCCGGCCAAGCCCATTTACTCTCGTCTCGGACATGGGGCCCCCCCCCTGTCGGGCAAATCCTGGCGCCACTGGCGAATTGTTACCTTTTCTCAGTGGCAAGATGTTGAGACATGGAATGTTTTGGTATGTTTGTAATACTGTACTGGGGTACTTCCTTATAATTGGCACTCCCTCATCTTTGGTGCATACAGACTTTGGTGGCACCTTGTAAGTTTTAGTTAAATTTCTACTGCTTTATTTGAATAATCATCCCATCTATGTTAGATGATCAGCAATGTTAATAACATAATAATGCACTGAAGGCCTACTGTTCATCAATCGGAGTAGAAGTACTTCAAAATACTGATACCAGAAAATCATTTATATTCAAATATATTTTATTCATAAACAAGAATACTTTATGGAAGCACTACTGGTGCATTCGTATCACTACAACACTTGTGATGTGAGTTGGAATCTAGTTCCAAATGTTGGTTGTATAGCTTGCATCAAGACTTTTTAAATTTCTGACTTGCTGTTGATGCTGATTGTTCCTGCATACCATTTTTTGTTATAAAACTGAATTGAGTTGTTTTCAATCATGAGAAAAATAAAACCCTCATTTTATTACTTTTGTAATGGAGATTCAAATTTCAATGGTGAAAGTGTATTGATTTGAACGCAGCATGGTACACTCCTGATTATAATAATTTTTAAAAACATCACCCAGATTAACTAATATAATATGATCATTCTTAAAACTTAATCAAAGTTGTAGACAAAATATTTATTCAAGAGTAAAGCCCAACACCATTAAAGCAGTTAAAGTAAACAATGCAAAAATAAATATTACAATGGCATTGTACTTTGTTCTATCACAACAGATTGATGGCTTCACTGTTATTTTACAAATTAAATGTTTTAAATTACCATATTTATTCAAAGGAGGTGTTTGTTTTCTTTAGTGTAAAGTGGAAACATATATACTAGATTAAACGCCCCTTAATTTCTGTAAATGTGGAACTACAACACATAATTACTGTCAAATGTGTTATTGAGAGACCATAAAGACTTACTGATCCCAACTAGGTTAGAACAAATGTAATTCTACTATTAATAGACTGTGTTGCACCCCTACCACTAAAAATTTTCAGAGCACAAAAAATCTACTCATGAAGGAATATTAAGTAGTTAAAAACAATGGCAGCACCAGAAATCCCCCGGCAAGGAGTCCGATATAGGGACGTATCCAAGGAAGGGGGTGCCATGGCTCCCCCTTTGTACCCTTTGTTAGTATTTTAAAGCTTGTTCTTGCTAGCTAATACAAATTTTTTCCTTAGATCGCTCAAAATGAATACTAATATGTTAATATGTAAATATGCATCATATATAAGTCAACGTCTCAGTCACAAATTAAAAACAAAAGAGTTAATAACTACAAGTGGCACAATGCAAAGTAGTCTGTGTGTATATTAAAATTTTTGATTTATAAGAGCTTTACCGCTCAAGGGGTGGATTTATCAAACTTAACAAAAAAAAAATCAGCTTAAATTTTTTATAAAGTTTTGTTCAATACCACTACTAGTAATAATACAAGTAACAATAATGAGGATGATGTTGGTGATAATAATATTATAAAATGAAGAAAATTGTGGCAAAGACAAGCCAAAGCAGTCACAAAAATCGATTTTGAGTTATTAATACAGTGTTAAAGAGTATCCAACATTTCCTTATGAAGTTACTACAACTGTTTAAAGAACAATATATGAGAAATTGGCCTTCAAAGTACAGTATATGATTTCAGGCATTTCTCATGCAGAAACTATCATCAAAGCCTTAAAAAGTGTTGTTTTAACATTGAAAATGGGGAAAATAACAGCATAGCATGATGTATAGATATATATGGGTTAGTGTTTTTGCATGTTTTTGCCATTTTTTCTGAAACACGATTTGCGACGAGACTGGTTTGACTTGTCTTTGCCACAATATGCTATAGATTACAAGTAATGGAAATGACAGGGTTGGCTTTATTCTTTTTCATCATTTATAAACATTGCGATTACATTCTGCCAATTATTAAAGCATCAACCAAATCACCAGCCTTGAGGCCAGGCTTGGTATCAGTTCCTGGAGGCAGCTGAAGTAATGCTTGTGCTGATAGCATACTAAGTAAACGACTACTCATTTGGTTTCCAGTGCTGGTGGCTAATGGTACAGGGTCATCACCATTCCATGATAATACCACCCTGTGGAATTCTGGTCTAGAATCAAGTTTTATGTCCCTTTCAATCTGAAAGTAAATGAATATTATTTAGACTATTGATACAACTGGTCCACTCCAATTAAACAGCGAGACTTGTAAATACAGTACCTTGTTTAGATGATTACGACAGTGATTACGATCTCCCTTCCCCTTGAACGTAAATTATCTAAATGAATGTGAAAAAAAAAATCCCATCTTTCTCACAGTCACAGTAAAGAACCTCTCACAGTATATACTGTTATTACTGAATGTACAGATGAGATTTTTTTAAGATTTCAAGGGAATGGGCATAATTTTTTTGTGGCGGAGGGTGCAATAACTGGCCAAAAATACTAAAAATGATACTGATTTACCTTGGCTTTAATTTTCGTTGGGTGTGATTTCAAGTGGCCACACATCTTTCTTAGTGCAGGTAAAATAAAGAGGTTGCAGGTTACTATAGCTGACACTGGATTCCCTATTGAAAATTAAAACATAAAATCCTTTATTAAACGACAGCAAACCAGTGTCCTAAAATAGGTATTTTGATGTTCTTTACGCATTAGCGAAAGGCCACCCGGCCAATAACACTCATAAATATCCCGGGCCCTTTAACGCCTGCGACAGCCCATAGCTGTCACGCCACTTGCAGTGGCATAGCCCTTGTGAGCTGTTGGGGGTGAAGCCAAATACCCTATGCTCCTAGTAATACACGGCAGTCTTTAACATAGAGCCTTGACATTCAGTCTAGTACAAGTAGAAGACACTCAAAAGTAACATATTAAAACAATGTAATTCCTAGTATCTAGGTTAAGTCACAGTCGGGCCTATCGCATCGCACTCTCAGCTGCTTAGAATTTCCGCAGGGCTGGTTTTCAATATCAGCCAATCATATATTCAGTAAGTCAATGGGAGTCAGAGCATACCCTTCAACGCTTAAATTTGCTATTGTGACAACTGTGTGGTGGCATCAGAATAGCCAATTTAACACTGGAATGGAAGCGGTGCTTCCAAGAGTATGTGCGCATGCTCCTCTTCTCACAAATCGGGACCACCACTGCCGATCAGGTATTCTATCTATAGGCCTAATCTCAATGATTAAAGTTTTTAAACTTTAATCATTGAGATTAGATTTATTTAAAAATAAATTGATCGGTATAGAAGAAACTTCAAATTATTATTATTTGAATTGAAATTTGTTAAAATACAGGAATCGGAATTCTTTTGAAGAGAAAATACTACAACCATGCATTTGTATTTTGACTATAGAACGCAATTTGATTCTGTATAGTAGTAGGCTTACAAACTTTTCCTACTAGCAGGCACTAGCATCAGTGGCATAGGGGTCTTGAAATGGAAGGTAGCTGATGGGGGTGGGAAGTTGGGGGAATCAGTGATTAGGTGAGGGGGATAAATTGCAAAATAAGGTGATTTGATTATTTTTTTCAGGGTGGGGGGATGCGCGTCCCTCGCACATCCTAGATATGACAATACCTAGCATACCCTGCAATTTACCCTACCGTCCGCCACTGTTTTTAACTCGTGAATGTCCTATACTCTAATATGTGGAATCACATGACAATACTTTTTTTTGGCCTATGATGTCAATTCCCAAAACCAAAAAACCACAAAAAAACTCAAAACTCAAAAAACCCAAAATTGTTCCACTTCCAATTGTTAGGCTTCACTATACAAACAAAGTAACGTAAAATACATTGGGGCGGGGCTACCAGCACTTTCTTGAATATATATAATATATGGTAATATTAACTTACCAGGTAAGGCAAAGACCAGTTTTTTCTTTCTTTCATATTCAACAGTAGCAAATGTTGTAGGTTTTCTGAAGTGAAATTTAAAAATATATCTTGCACATTATCCTGATTACTTTTAGATATACTTAAAAGTAGGAAGTACTCAAACTCAGAATTGAAATTGTTTTTGTTTTTAAAAAAAAAAAATTTTGTTTTACTAAATCTGCATCCAATGTAATAATAATATATATAAAGTGCACTGATAAAAAAATAAACATAATAAAACTAACGACTTCAATGATGACACAGGGGGCCAGAACCGAACCATTGTGCCAATCATTTACAGACTTTTTTTTTACTCTAATAGTCAAAATTGGGGGAACACTACATTTTTTCAAATTTTAAGATAGGTTTTGCATGTGCATGGTCAGTCATGAATACATTCTGTGAAAAGTTCAGTGATGAACACAGAATTTAGCACAATGTCAGTAAGACTTAACCCTGTTCTGTTCACACTGGCCGACTTCACAAGTTAGTAAAATACATTTCAGTTTAAACCACGTCTTCAAATATCCATAGTAAAAAAAAAAATTTCTGTATCCTAATAATTTGTCTTGAGTGCAAAATATGGGTTGCTTAAATTTCAGTTACAGGATAATAAGCTTTGTAATTCCAAGTAAACCGGACAGGATGAAAATTTAAGGTTCGCTTTTCTTTTAATAGTTCTCACAATAATTTATCATTAATCTGACAAGTCTGACCTGTTTCTTTATGGGTCTAGGCCTAATGATAAATTGCCTTAGTATTTTGGCCTATTTCCATATGTCTGTAATTAGGCAAAATTTCCGTATCAAATACAGACGTTGCCAGTAATTTCCGGCAGCCACCCCCACCCCCCTCGAAAAAGAGAGGGGGTGGGGGTTGGTGCAGGGTGGGACTTTCACAGATGATAGGCCACCATGGTTGTGGCTGAGGTAAGAAAATTTATGATTATGGCATCTCTAGATAGCTGGAAATAATACTCTCAGGCAAAAATTTTAAATTTATCTTTAAATCCTCCACTGGTCTTCAGTGGTTAATGACTTCTGTTAACACACTGACCTATTATATTGCACTTAGTGATACCCATCGGCACTGAATTCCATGAGACAAATGATAGTAAAATATTGAAAACATGCAAATATTAATTTTCGGGAGATGGGTTATTTCCGGCAGATTCTTGTTGGCTTGCGGGAGTGCGGA